TTAAAAGTTTCTTGCTCATCTAATTTTTTTGAAGTAGATTGGAAACATTTAGCCATTGAAGATTGATGTTTTCCTCCTATTTTTCCTTTTTTTTGCAATGTGTGAAGCAGTTTTCACATGTTGGTCTATCTGAAATTTCTTCTCACATGCTATCTATAAATAAAAATAAAAACCTTTATTTTAACCCAACCTTTAAAATATAAAAATATACAAGGTGTTTTTGGTTAATCAAATAACTGGTTTGGAAAAAAAAAGCACTCGCTAAGTGTTTTAAATGCAGTATTAATCCACAAATTAGTTTTTGTTACTAACCATTAGTACATCATATAACTTATTTTAAAATTCAACAAAAGTTTTTTTTTGTTAATTCAATTACAATAAAAATAATTGTGTTTTAGAATAGCTGACTTCATAAAAAATAAAGGTGAAAAATTTTTCTAAATACACACCATTGTATTGTACCATGGACAATTTTTTCTCACTAAAGGAAGCTATTTTTCATTTAAAAACAACCTACGAGTACTGAATTTCAAGTAAATACGTTTATTGGTTTTAAAGTTATTGTTGTTATTAACTAAAAGAATTTAATTTTTTTTAATTTTAACACCCTGTATCTCGAAAAGTAAATAAGTTTGACCCTCATTAACTATATCGTTTTGTTCAATTTTTCGAGAAGTATCTACAGTCAAACGTTGTAAGTGTCATTTGGAAACACCCTGTATGTATGAAATATTAGATACTTAATAGAAAATATTAGATACTTACAATTTTGCCACAGACTGAACAGTAGATTTTTCCCATATCCATAGACAGCTCTTTATATAAGATTTAATCCAAGTTGAAGCACTGGTTGTTTTAGGCATTATAAAATCACAATCTTCCTTTTTGTTACGCACAACGAGTGTTTACGCTTTGAATATCAAAACAAAAATTATTTACAAATCTGAGCATCAAATTAGAAATGTTTAGGTACCTAATTCAATAAACTGGGAGATTTTGGAAAATCCCTAAATTAGGAACAAAACTATTAGCCGTTTACCTGCTGTTAAGATACAATAAATTGTAGATAGATTTGGGGATTAGATCATAAAATGCAAATGAGCGAACCCTTAGCGATTATCCAATAAACTGAATGCCTCAGTGACCGAGACTTTCTAAGAATGTTGAGGGCTACGTAAATGTTTTGTACCTGTAGAGATTACGTACTTAGATCATTTCTTGATTAAAATGACTACAAAATTTTATACAAGAATTGAAATAAATTGGTATGTTTAAAAATTTTCAAATACAGTATAAAAATCTGAACTTTTATGCACTTTATGCAAACTTTTATACAAATATGCCAAAACATGAAATATTTGCATAAAATATGCACAATATGCAATATGCATATTTGCCGCTACTGATCACTGTATACTCCTCACGTACACTATTTATGTAGAAGTTGCTGATTCTTATGGCAAATTCTTTTATATTTCGGAATATATGCATTAACGTATTTTTGTCATAAGATATTTTCAATCTATTTTTAAAAAAAAATTATATTCTTAATGGTGTATCTCCAGTCCCATTCTGACCATTACTATGGATAAGGTAGTCGATAATAGTTTCATACGTTCTTCAGATTCAGACAAGAATCTTCTTGCTAGATATCGTGGAATATCATTCACATATCTTATCTTGTGAAAACAATTCCATTCATTTTTAGTTTTCCTATTGATTCTGATCGCTTTACGATGTATTCAACATATAAATTAGAAAGGAGCGAAGGTAAAATGCACCCGTGGTCCTAAGAGTCCTCCGGTTTCCATGCAAATTTAAACTAAGACGTGATAAGAAGATTGGTACGTGGAATGTGCGAAGTCTATTCTAAGCCGGAAAGTCGAATAATGTAATTAAAGAGATGCGACGACTCGTAATTTATATAGTCAGATACAGCGAAGTCAGATGACCAGATTCAAAATAGATAAACATACAGTATACAACTGAGTACTTGGTTCTGTGTGGAATATAGGATAGAGTCGCAGTGTCTAAGATCAATGCTACACGACTTGACATAAATATTATGCAGACGTACGTTTCAACTTCCGAAAACTCACAGCAAGAACCATTATATGGACAATATATTATTATTGAAAATAAAAAATGTATAAAAGAAAAACATTTTAATATTGAAAAGATTTTTCCAGATGTCGAATCGAAGAGTTTATAAAAATCACTAGCTGACTGTTCCCAAAAATTTATCAAAAATCGTATTCTCCCATACAGACAACTTGGGAAAAACATTGGTAATGTTAAGTATGGCTTTAGAAACGGACTTAAAACGCAAGAGCATTATTTGTACTTGAATGTAAACTGCCATTTCTACGCATGCTTAATTGATTTCAAGAAAGCATTTGACAAAGTAACACCACAAACTGATTCAAATATCAAAGGAATCTGATATCGATGACACAAATTTAGATGTAATGAGAAACTTGGACCTATACCAAGAGGCCTTTGGACGAGTAAGCAAAATGCTGCTTAAAAAAGCTATCCGTGAAACAGGAAAGGGAATAAAAATCAATGGTGAAAGCATTGACAACTTCTTAGCTGAAAATACTAAAGATCTGCAGACACTAACAGAAATAGTTATAGAAGTCTGTAAGAGATACGGCATGAAATTGAACTGCAAAAAGACCAAAATTAGAAATAACGATAAAATGCAGCACCAATTTAGAGCGAAACTTTGGAAACAGTCACATATCTCCGATGCAGTCTAAATAAAGACTGGGATCTCTCAAAAGAGATTTGATGTCGGATAGAAAAGGCGAGAAGTGTCTTAGAAAGATCTTTATAAAGAATATGTACATGATCGTTACTATAAGAACACGAGCCTTGAGACGCTATGTGGTTTCTCTATACAGTGAAAGCTTGGACCTTAACAGAGATGACATCTAAGCGAGTCTGAAGCATCAGAAATGCAATGCTACCGCCGCATGCTTAGGATTTCATTCATAGGCGATGAAAATCAGGAAAATCTAATACTTAGGGGTTGTAATGCACAATGAGAAGTACCAACTAATTTAGCTGATTTTTCCAAGATAGAAGGTAAAAGAACTCAAGGGCGTCAAACGATAACTTGCCTTTCGCATGGTCTTGAGACAGTACTTACTGTTCTTAGACCGTATGGTTTGGGAAGTCATAACATGAAAGTAGGTCCTCTCTTTTCTGGAAATAAACAAATAAAAATTACCACCCAGGGTTACACATTCATAATGTCTTGGGACCCATTAGATTGCCCTATCTAAGGACCAGAAAATCCTGGCATTTTCCAGCAAGAAAATGCCAGGTCCCACACTGCAACTGTCACTCTAATGTTTCTCCGATAAGCTAACGTTACCGTTCTTCCATGACCACCAAAGATCATCAAACCTTTGTTGGTGCTGCTGATTGGACCTCTACATCCCAGGAGAATATCCAAGAATATGGAATACTCGAATACTACTATTGGACTACAATGTAATCGGGCTACTCCACGAAAATTTTATTCCATTGATATGTACTTATTTTATCATCAAAGATTTATGAAAATCTATGTACGTTTAGAGTCTTGCATTTTGAATGTCAGGCAGGATACATATTTTCCGGGCCTGAGAATAGTTAAAAGAATTATTGACTGCTGTTGTTGACTGTGTATTCGAATAGTGTGAATGCTAGGAATTGTTTATTTACCACATATTGTGTAAACAAAACTGCGCTGTAAGCTTTTCTTTTAATCCGCATTTACAATTGGAAAAGTTTCATTACTATATGCGACGTATCATAAAGTGCCTATAAAATATATATGAATAATGGTGAGGACATTATTTTGGGAAGTAATAAAAGCTACTTGATTGTAGTGTTAAATCTAACTGTTCCAGTTTTGTTAGACCTTTATAACATACTCGTATAAGGCCTTTATTCAGTATATAAAGACAGTAAATGTTATACCTACTGACGAAAAAACAAACACATTCAAAAGTTCAAAAAGAAGAAGAGTTTTTGACTTGAATTCGTCTAATTTTTGACTACTTCCCAATACCCTTTTTACAACCAACTATCCAAATGTAATAATATTATAACCCTATAAACTGAATTAGTAAGAGAAAATTATATGCAAATCAATAATTACTGATTATATAATATGCAAAACGATGGTCACATTACGAGCGCATTAGAGTTTATCGCCAGTTTTATTGGATTTTTGGCTGTTTATGATTATCATAAATGCTGTTCTTTGTTACGATTATTAGATTTTATAAAACTAGATTAATATTTGAAATTATTGTTTTTTTGTGTTTAAAAATATAGTCGATAAAATATACAAGAATATACAGTAGTATACATTTATATAGTTATCGATTTTCCATTAATAGGAAATACTTCAGTTAAAATACAAATTAAAAAGAGATTTTGTAAGTACTCTATATTATGTAAATAAAACACAATAGAGGGTTTATATATTATTATATTATTGATAACAACATTATCAGATATATTTATTTTTTTATCTGAGTCATAAATTGAATTTACACTAATCCATTACTAAATATATATACAAAAATTAAATTTAAAATGGGAAAATAAAAGCATATAATCATATTCATAACATAATATATTGATTTATTTATATACAGTCCCTGTTCATATCGTTCATTTGGAAGAAGAGGGTTACATCTCAAAATGTTTAAGTTTTTTTTATTGAATCAATAGCTTCCAAATAATGTCTTCTGCTAAAAAAATGTGTAAGTATGCTAGTTTCCGAGAGATGGCAGATGCAACTCTTTGTGATTCCCCGAATTTAACGAGTTGATTATGAAAAATACAGTTATATTTCAGTGTGTACTTGACCTTTTTTTACTGAACGTTATTCATTTTAGAGAAGACAGTAATTTCTTGAAATATAATTGACAAAAGATAAGTTTATATTATTAAAAGGGTGATATTTGTGTTTGGCAGATCATATTGAAGTGGCATCTTTAGTTGTTTTTATTACACATCTCCTCGTACCTATATCTTACTCCTGGACGTCTTAGGACAAATTGGTCCTTACTATCCATAATTAGAAATGTTGCTTTATCACTAAAGCATACCTGCAAATGTACATAAAAATTATAACGTATAAAAACAATGATTTGTATCATACTTTTGCCAATTATCAATAGTTCAGTTTTTATGCAAACTGGCACAATCTAAGCGTTTCTTAAGTATACGTGTTGTTAGTTTTGGTTTCTTAACATACCCACGACATTTGAACCCCATGCTGTATAAATTTTGAGCGAACGGTGGCTACCGATACTGAACACTCTGCTTCTTCTAATGTATTCCCTACATCTCTATGAGTGACTAATTGATCTCTACAAGAGCCTAATTTTTAAAAATTGGTTTAAAAAAATAGAAAGAGCTTTACATTTACACGTTTACCGTGACTTAACGACATTAACGAAAACCTAACATTATACCTTAGCCATAAGGTCACACAAACTTTACTTTTATTTAAATATTTAGCATGATTATGTACTAATTATTAAGCAACCCATTCTGAAACTCTGTATCACTGTGAAGATACTATAAGGCGTTTGAAATTAAAAAAACTGAAATTTCTAGCCTGACTACCTGCTCCAACTATGAAGTAATGCGGACGAATGGAAACAACGAAGAAGCAAAGTGTAGGTACGCTCTGTCGTGCCTTTTTCGTAGATGCTTTAATTAAAACACAGCTCTAATTAAAGCCAAAAATGCCCATCGAGACCAAGGCATGCAAACTGTGGATAAAATTATCATGAAGGCAACAGCAGCTCAAGCACAGAGACTTCATACTGAATATGAATATGAATACTGAATATGAATAAAAATAAAGCTCAGAAGCAAAACCTTTATTACTGGTTTAAGTATTTAGTATAAAAGCAGATAAGATTAGGACGTACTGTGTCGCATATTAAATTAGTATATACTTGTTAGATCCATGAAAGAGGAAAAGGGGAAAGAATATCACAGAAGATCGCTGGGAATGAAATATTAGAAAACGATAACATCGAGAAAAGCTGGGAAAAATCCAAAAATAACACAATTAACGCAGCAACAGACTCACTTGGAGAGAGGAAAGTAACGAAGACTATATCAAAAAAGAAAATACCATAGTCTAAAGAGGAAGTGAGGACAAAATATGAAGAAAAGAAGAAAACCTTTTTACAATACAGAACCCAACAAACACAACAGGCATACAACCATTATAAACGAATCAGAAATGAAACGAATACTTTAGTTAGACAAATAAAAAAGGAACACTGGCAGAGATGACAATGAGATGAAAACACTTAGAAAAATTGATGGTAAGACACTATGGAACAGAGCTAAAAGTACAGATATACGACGTAGATGCAAGGTGGAGAACATCAAGAACTGTGTAAGAAAAAGAAGAGTAGAATGGAACGATCATATAAGTCGAATGACAACAGATAAAGTAGTAAAGACGGCAAGGGACAGTCCCCCAATAGGAAGACGATCAGTAGGAACGCCACCAAAAGGATAGAACGACAACTTACTGGAGGAACATTAAAAAAGTTTGTTAAATAGACAGAGTCATGTCTATATAAAAAGAAGAAGAAGATACATGAAGTCGTCTGGTAGTTCTAGGAAATCGTTTGTAAATTAGGTTAGAGATAAACTACTCATTGGTTAGTTCACCATATTAATATAGTTAAAAGTGCTTTTACAAAAAAAAGCCTTCTTCAATTTTTCTTCAACTATACTAAATGTGTAAGATACACCTTAACTAAATCCTAAATAAATAAACTACTAGTTGTTAAAAAGACGAGAAAAACTCGAGACACTTACATTACAAAGACAGCAAAGAAATAACATTATACGATGCCATAAAACTAAAAATAACATAGGCAACGCCTACCGATTGATATAAATTTGCGTCTACTGTGTATTCGCTTGTATTCAAGGCGTGTGTAGGTGGTTGTGGCGGACAATCGAAGAAAGAAATGAACCGTGAAAATTGTCTATTATCTAGGAGACCAGACTGATATATATTTATTGCTTTAGTATCCTAGGATCTGCCCTTTTAATGGTTTCATAAATTAGTAAGAACTATGCTGGTAAATAATAACTAATAAAGGTAGCTTTGGAGCATTTAAAAAGTGTTTCTAGCGGTACATTTGATAGGTATATACGTATGATAAGGTAAAACAGAGATGCAATCTGCATTAGAAATTAAAATGAAGCTTAATAGTTAAACATATTTCCAAATACTCATGATGTAACGAATTTATATTAAATAAATATTGCAAATTCGTCTGTATTATATATTTTTCTATAGTTGCTATTATTCCTACCCACACAAAATAAAACATTTTTATTCAATTATGCAACAAACCAAAAGTGATGAGAATCATTTATCAGTCACCAGAAAAACAAATTTAGTTAGAAATTAATCAAGAGACATCAGGTAAATTTTTAAACCGTTCATTGTACACTTACATCTTTATTATTCAGTACTACGTATAAAGAAATTTAGGAATAATGTACTACAAATGGTAAACCAAAGCGAGACTACCGAGTGAAATAAATTTAAAAATTCACGCTGTAATTTTAATATCCAAATCGCGGTGACAAGCTTATTGAATTAGTCGAAGTCGAAACTAATTTTAGCATAGAGTATACAGTGGGTCTACAAACACTTGAACAAATAAATAAAGGATTAAGCAATCACTTTCAACTAAGGTGTTCTCAGAGTCTCCATTTCGTGTGCCATATTGTTCTTTTTTGTACTTCAGTTTTTTAGTTAGGAGCACCGGTCATCTCAACATCTAGCGACACTAAATATATGTATCCGAGATTTGGTCTACAACTGTTTTATGAAGACTACCTGTTGTGTGTTTGTGATTCTTATCACATTAAATTTAATAGCTCTCTTCTTATAGAGTTTTTCTGATCTTCTCCATGTTTATTTTAATGAATGTCCAGGTTTGAGCTCCATATGTAAGTATAGGTAGGATACAGGAATTAAATACTATGGTTCGCAGACTTTGAAGTATATTTTATTTTTAAGCACGAATGAGAGTCTTCCGAATGCTGTCCATCCCATTTTTACACGTCTGCTTATTTCGGTAGTCTGATTTTCTTTTCTTACATTGACATTTTGACCCAGATATGTATTCATCTACGTGATATATCTCTGTCCCTTCGATGTTTATCATAGGTTTGTCATCTTTGTTTGACATTAGTTTAGTTTTGCTGAAATTCATTTTCATTCCGTTAATAGGGATTCCCTTATTTGCCCAATCTATTGATTTAAAGATATCTTCTAGGGCTGCTGTAAATAATTTTGAAGATATTGTGTCTCCTTGTCTTACTCCTTGGTTGATTTTTACTGGTCTTGCTTCAATTCCATTACCCAACGTCACTATCATTTCAGCTTGTTAGTAAATATTAAAAATATTAGGCTCGAAAGAGGGCTTAAGTGTCAACCCCAGTAAAACGACTTTTGATACCTTTCACAAGGAGACGTAAATACAATTTACAGGCTCCAACTATGAATTGCATCACATTAGACTATTCCAAGGAAGTTAAATATCTGGGAGTAACCCTAGACCTGAAAAAATTTTATCCAGAGCTTTGGTGGCAAGTTGGACCTGCCGCAAGACGTTTGGAAAGACTTGGGGCCTACAACCGAAAATGATTCTCTGGTCATATAAAACAATAATTAGGCCCATGGTCACATACGCATCATTCGTATGGTGGCGAAAAACACAACAAACAACAGCTAACGCCAAGCTGCAAAAAGTGCAGCAGCTAGCTTGTCTGAGAATCACAGGGGTAATGTCAACATGTCCCACTGCAGTTCTAGAGGCGATGCTGAACCTTCCTCCCTTACAGTTCTGCATAAGAAGGGAGGCAGTAACTACCGCCTTAAAACTGCGACAGACACAAATAATGAAACCTGGAGATATAGTTGGCCACCTGAAAATCTTAGAAGAAATTCCATTGGATTCTAAGGACATGCCGACAGATGCTATGCTAGTCAAATTCGAATTTGAAATACCCTTTGATGTGGTCATAAAAAACCACCAAATGGGTGAAGAAATTGAACCAAAAGTGGAAGAAGGTTTACTCGTATGGTAGTCAGATGGATCTAAGATAGATGAAAGGGCAGGAGTGTTACTGGGCCCAATTTCAGGCTATCTAAATTTCTTGGAAACGCCCCAACTATCCTTCAGGCTGAAATACATGCTATAGACATAAGTGCCCAAGAATGTCTCAAGCGAGATACCCGTAGGGAAAAAGTCTTTATTTTATCAGACAGCCAAGCCGCCTTAAAGGCTCTAAAGTCATTTACATGTGAGTCAAAGTTGGTTTGGGACTGTAAACAATCTCTCAAGAAGCTGGCGGAACGCAACAATGTAACTGTGATGTGGGTACCAGGTCACAAGGGAATTACAGGAAATGAGGAAGCTGACAGCCTCGCAAAAGAAGGAGCTAATACCCCATTCCAGGGTCCGGAACCCTTCTGCGGACTATCGAAAAGCCACATAAGAGAGGAACTCCGCACCTAGGAACTCAATCAACTAAGATCATATTGGTCTAACACACCAGGACAAAGGCAAGCAAACAGATTCATAAAAGTGTCGCCTACTGCAACAAACCGGCTTCTCGAAATGAGTAAGAAAGATATCAAAATGGTCACTGGCCTTCTCACTGGACACTGCCCTATGAGATATGATCTCAAGAAGATGAGCAAATCAGATAGTGAGAACTGTCGCTTCTGTCACAATGAAAAAGAAACGGCAGAACATATACTATGCAACTGCGTAGCACTGTTCTGCAAACGACTAACATTCCTAGGAGAGGTCAGTCTGGCGTGCTCTGACATAGGAAACAAGTCACCTAGGAGGCTAATCAACTTCATCAGAAGTATTGGCATTCTAGAGTTTCACTATATTAAGGTATGCACGAAAGATCTCGATAGGTCGAAGTGCGGTGAGGCCGCATGGCCTTAACGACCTCACATAATCTAATCTAATCTAGTAAATATTATGTATTAATATTCTGTACCGGGAGTCGATCCTATTGTTGACTAATGCTT